AGGAATCGTTCAAATGTGCAAGGCGTTGGTGGAAAACGTTTGGCCCATGAGGTACCTGGGAACTGAAAGGGTGTTTCATACGCAGGCCCAGTGCAACTTTAAGAAGGTTCACCGGCTGATTTAAAATGAATTGGGTTTTTCAGCCTGGTTTTCAGTACAGCAACACAAAGCTACTTCCCAGATCAGCTTTGCTGGCCTTGTTTTAGACAGGAATGAATTAATCTTTGTCTTGGAATAAGTCTTTTGTAGTCCAGTTTCAGCCAGTTCTTGTTTAAGTGAGCACAATACCAACATTTCCCATCTGATATAAAACCACAGGATATACAAACATAGGTTATATATGATATAGATCATATATGTGATATATGTATTTTACATATATATGTATATATTTTAATATTGCGATCTCATTGCCACTACATCATATTTGTTAATAACTCATATATGTTAGTCTCGATGGAAATTATGTGTGCCAACTTAACCATCCAATTTGAATCACTGACACACTGAGGTTTTGGCAATGTCCTAAGCGGTAAAATGGAAATAAGGTGGTAAGCAGTAAAGTTCAGCCTTTAAAGTAGTTATTCAGTATTGTCCAAGTTCTTTTGTGTGTGATGCACATACCAGCATACAGTGGAAAGTAAGTCAGACACCAAGGCAGCACAGGAGAACAGAAGTCTTAAAACCATGAGCTGTTCCTACTCAGGGAGAAGAAAAGGAGATTCTCCCATGTCTCTCTCTCATCAACTGGCAAGCGAGACAGTAAAACCAACCAGTTTTTCATAGTTTGAACCTTGAGGATGTTGAACTTCCAATAATCCGACAGTGGACAAATAAGATATAGGACACCATAGTTATGGAGAACTTGGTGGCCGTGAAAAGACAAGGCTGCACTTACAGCTACTGCATCATGTAGTAAAATCATTTCTTCTCCTTGAGCTATTTTTTACAAATCTATTTTGGATCTTAATATGCTTTCAAAACTGAGCTCTATTTTATCTTATGAACAGTAACAACTTGAGTGCAATAGAAGAAGCTGTATTCTGTAATATAATAATAATGTGTCAGTTTGGTAAAAATTTTATTATGAAGCAAAACTGCTAACCAAAGTAATTTCTGGTGTTAGAGTTTTTCGTTACAAAGAACTGAAGTGACAAATGAGTTTATCGCTGTCAAGAGACCTATCTTTTATTTTGGTCACTTAGTATTAATTAAATCTTGCAAGTAATTCTTTTTTGTGTGTTTGCTTTGTTTAATATTTTTAAACAAAATATTGCTCTCTAAGGCATAGTTTACTGTATGTTTACTAACCACTTAATATGTTTACAATGCTGTGTATTGTTTCTTCTTAACAGCACTCTGCACAGAGGAGTGTGTGCATGGAAGATGTGTCTCTCCGGACACTTGTCATTGTGAACCAGGATGGGGAGGTACTGATTGCTCTAGTGGTGAGTAAAGATCACAAAAACATGATAAAGCTATATGCTGCTATTAAAACAAGGCCTGAAACGAAGCAGTGACCTTAGAACTTGGGTGCTTTAAGTTAAAAAATGAAGGTTGTCAGTTGGTTATTTTGCAACAATTACTATGTGATAATACCCTTGCCTATGATAATGACTTTCACCTTCTTTGCTTTCGGTCCTGTTATTGGGATACCAGTATAGATAATATAGCTCTATTATGAAATTTTTCTCTCTGAAATCTTTACTACAACACATTCTTCATTAAATACTTTGTGGAGTACTTGGAGTACCTTGGAAGGCACGCTCTCTAGACAGAATCTTTGTCCTGTTGAAGCCAGTGGGAGCTCTGCCATTGACTCTTCATGCAGCCCCGATCCTACCTTCTGACTTGAAATCCACACCCTAAATTATCCGTACTGCAGAAGTTGGGGAAATGGTAGAGGTGGGAGTTCTGCACCTCTTACTAGGAAACTAATTCACACTTGAGGCTTTCAATTCTTTTGGCTGGAGAAGTCGTGTATGTCAAACTCTCTTAATTGGTAATGATGTTAACTTTACGTTCATGCTGGAATGAAACAGCCAGGGTTCTTTCTAGCACAAACATCAGAGATGTTATGTAACACAGGCCCAATACCTTATTGACCTAACGGAAATGAGCTTGTTAAACGAAGTCTATTTGCGCGTCAGGCAAGTAAATAAAGCTGCATCCAGAAAGATGCTGTGAGTCATTTACAGAATGAATGTTTTGTTTCACTTTTACTTCCTCCCTTTCTCCCAGATTGATTGGGATCTTGAAAAAGAGGCACCATTACCAGGCAAAAAGATAACAGAAAAGGGATCTATAAAGGGAGGTGTTAGAAGAGAATAGGAGTTAAATGTGACTGGGGACGAACACCTCCAAAGGCTGAAGTCAATGGGGCAGACTCTTCTCTGGACAAGTTACTGGTGTTTTGTCTGCAGCTTTGCTGATGTCTCCTCAGCTACAGCGGAAAAGGCAATAGGGAGAGAGCAGGGAGGAAGGACAGAAAGAAAGGCCACGCTTTGGGCTTTGAATCAACCTTTTGGGATTACCTGGCAGGTAGACAAGGGGAAAATCGGGCAGCATAACATACTGAATATCTATCTATGACAATATTTTTAAAAAGAAAAATAGCGCCTTCAATTGTAAAATATTGCCTAGAATCTCAGGAACTAATTTTATCCTTGGGTTATTTTTAGTAGTAGATATGTTTAACCTAACAGCCAGTGAGTATTTATACACTTAGAGAAGTTAAAAAAATGAGAAACAAAAATACTATGATAACATGGACACGCAGATAGAGTTGTATACATTTATACACACATGCATGCACAGAGTAACAAGCACGCCATTCTTTGTAATAATGAAGAGGAAAGGATAAGATGTCAAAGTACAGAATGGTCTCGTGGGCTAAAACTACCCAGTGACTCTTTTTAAATTGCACTGATCTTGCAAGTGAAGATAAAAAGAAAAAGAAGGTTTTTCCTATATTGAATATTTAGCTTTTTAAAGTAATTAGGAATATTAAAGCACTGACAATGATTGAGATAGAAACATTATTCATAATTTTTATTTCCGCACTGGGCAGCAATCCAGTATATTTCATTTATGAGGTTTCAGCGGTGGAAAGAGAAGCGTTAGCCAATTCCTAAATTAAATATGCCCTGTTAACTTTTATAAATGATAGCCCAGGATTAGCTTCAAAATTTAAGCTTTCATTTTATTAATATAATTAGTGTGTTCGCTGGACTATAGTGCCCATTGTCTCTCATTCCATTTATTATATGCCAGGCAACATGCATTCTTGTCCTAAGGTCTGATCTGAGCAAGCACTGTCCAACGTAATGCCTGTAAGTGCGAACGGCCTCATAGAAGTTAGCTTTCACTGCCGCTGAGAGAGCTGCTCACCTTTATGCTTGACACTAGAAATTTGGGTGACTGGCCTCTTTATTGTTAGGAGACTTTGTTTAAATTAAAAGGTATAGAAGGGATATCAGCTGAACACAGTACAATTGTTACTCTGAGTATTTCCAAGAGAGAAGAGAGAAGCTGGGAGCCTTTGCCTAACTGAGGTTAACTGGGTTTTCCAGAGACATTGATGATCCACGTACTGAGTCATGTCTTACTGTTATCCAGTAATAATGTAGAAAACATTTTTCACTTCTACTGGAATAATGTATTACCTGTGCCTGCTTTCTTCCTATTACTTCATTAATATTGGGTAGCTACTATGAAGGTTACGTGTTTGCAATGACAAATATCATTTGCTGGATGTTTCGAAATGGCTGGCCCTGTAGGGCTGTGCTCTGGGTAAACTGCAGCTGTTGGCTGTATGCGTGCCACCCCACTCCCCTGGGGCCATAGAACATTCCTATACGGTCCTCAGTATCAGTGATTTTATTAAGTCACAGGCATATTGCTTTTAATGTTGGCTGTTTGAAACTATTTCACTGGGAAAGGGATTGCTAGCCAAAACACTGCCTTTAAATTTAGAAAATCTCCCAGGAGCTGTAATTGTTTCCTGAATGATCTCTCCTGAAAACACTGTTGAGAAGTGGAGCCTACCCGACACTGGGGGTCGTCTGTTGTCGTTTACTTGGAAAAGATCTAGGGACACTCGCTGTTTTTGAGATGGTATTTCAACACCCGGCAGCCCAGACCATTATAACTTTCTAAAAGTTATATATAACTTCTGTTTGGTTTGATGGGTGAAATTCAACCATAAGCAGAGCTCCAGCACAAGGTCCAAGTGTCACTTCAAAATCAGAAGTCAGATCCAAATGTTTTTCTTTTTCGATACGCCGCAAAGACTCCTTATGCCAGGAGAGGGTATGAATTCTGACATTGAGCACACATTTCCTATGAGGAGGCAAGGTTTTGGTGTTAAATGCAGTTTTGCAGTGTTACCATTCTCCCTTGGCTAGAATATACGCAGTTAAATGTTTTGAAAAGTTACAGCTACAGCCCGTAGTCATCCAAACAATTTAATCATCTTTCTCAGACTTTGTTTCATGCTTTCTTAAAACTGAGCCTGTAAGACAACAATCACAAAACTTGCTATTCGGTGCAGCTTCCCAGTGACTAATCATGGTACGTGTTAGAGTTCATCTGCTGTCAAGGTTAAAATAACTTCAGATGAATTGCTAAACAATTATAAAAAAACCCTGTGCCATATTCAGCTCTGCATGCCTCTATACCTGTGTTTTACTGCATGCTGCTGTACATCTGTCGATGCCCGCAGGCCTAGCCTTGATTTCATGCTATAAAGCTGCAATATATTAAAGCTTGATTACCATAACAATAAAAAGAGAAGTAATGAGGTATTAACTAAAGAAGCTCTTGAATAAAATGTTGTCAAGGTTTTAATGATGCTAAAAATTAAAAGGAAAAGTCTTTAAAAAAACCCATACCTTTCCCTTCCCTTTTAACTTGTTTTACTAAAATCATGCCCATTTTGTCTATGCAATCTGCACTGCTGCTTTTTTAAATACAAAGGAAAATTGCAAATGCTCTGTGTGAACCTACCTGCTCACCTGTCCAATTATTTCAAAGCAATTAACTTCAAACAGTATGATATACTGGCTCGAAGTTCTGGTAGGAATATAATTGACTGTTGGTGGTTACCTGGCCTCTTCTGGGTCTTGATAATAGCCATCTGTATTTGCAAGCCATTAGGCCCCAATCCAGCAGAGCTCTTAAGCGTATCCTTAACTTGACACGAGTAGGACTTTTCATCTGCTTTAAGTTAAGCAGGTGTTTAAGGATGTTGCTGAGTCAGTTTTGAAGGAACAGTTAAAAAGACCTTGGTGAAATCTAAAGAAGCCTCTCGCTGAATTCATCAGGCCTATAAGGAATAAGGTGGTCTTTCTTTCAAAACACTAAAACTCATCAGGCAATATTGTTGAAGACCATTTTTACTCTCATGAGCATTTTTCATTGCGGGGAAGCTGACAGAAATCTTTGTGGTTAGACAGGGATTCACAGAACGGTGGACAACAGGTAGGAAAACGAAAGTTCAGAGCAAGAGCCCCGAATTAAAAGCAAGAACCTTCCAAAATTGTGTGTGCCAGTCTGAGAAATTTCAAAGTAAACAAACACAGAGGTTGTAATGAAAAAACAAACTGGTTGTGAAAATGTTTGCTTTGCTATTCGTTTCAGGAGAAAGTTTAGTACTTGCCCAAAGTGTAATTAAAGAGATGTTGGCATAATAATGCCAAGCTATCTTTCTTCATGCTACGTCACCTGAGGGAGAGCGGTTATAATATTGCTGTCTGGCATAGGCTGATCAGTAATGTACACATATGGATAACACAGTTTTGTTTGGAAAGGCTGTTTTGTACAATCTGTCATTAAGAGCAAGAACCTATTTCATCTTTATCTCTTTGTCAAAAATAGCCAAGGTCATAACAACAGGCAAGTATAACACCACAGCGAGATCAGGTTTAAGGGTATAGCCCTAGAGCAGCTGGAGTGCTTCAGTTCTGAGACTTGTAAAGAATGAGAATTGCAGATACTTTGCTAAATCTGAAGAGGGGTTGCTTGACAAGCTATGGAAAGCAACAGTAGAAATCTCAGGAGAAAAATACTGTATTTTAAAGTGAGTCTGTGGTGGTTTTCAGGCTTGATTTTGGCTTCCATGTTCTCAAAGTGCTTTGAACTATTTCTGAAGAAGAAATAAAGTTCAAAGGAAAGATTCCTGGTTTGTGAATACAGGCTCAAGCAAAATTCAGCCTAACGTCGGGGACTGATCTGCTGAAATCATTAGTTAATTTTTTGTCCTCGGGTTTTTAGGATAGGGTTGACTGGGAAACCACCAAGGTCCACCAGAGAGGTACAAAGGTGCAAGACCTCAGCTGTTCTAAACTGTTAGTGGGGCACTACTTAGACTCAGGGCCTGTCCCTGAAGGACATCCATCCATGTTTCTTGTATGGGAATTTGTCTATGCCATGGGTTTATATCACAGTG